AGCAATAAGGGTCTCTACAAAGGCTAGCAGACATTATGGATGGAGGGGATGCCCCGGCGAGGGGGCTTGAGCCAGCTTTACTGCAGCCCAGCGAGCTGGCGAACTGTGCATTGACCAGACTTCCACCGTGGGGCAGGAAGTGTTGGGGATAGCCGGCGTAGGCCCCTGCTAAACTTCCAGGGTACGTCATGCCAGCCGGGGGTAGAGGGAAAACAGTCTGGCCGGGTTTGTACGGAGAAACGGGGGCTACAAGTCCTGACCCCAGGACGGAGGCTGAGGAAGAAGAGTTGACAGACAAGGACTCTGACGTCGCTGCTTTGCATCCTGGTGTGGTTTCCTGGTGCTGGTTGACTTCCACGTTAATTCCCGCACAGCTCACGCTTATCCGGCTGTGGCTGACGCTGGTCGGCGCAGATCCATCCGAGGTGCAGTTTTTATTACAATCAGACTCTTTCTTTTCATCTCTCTCTCCTTTCCCGTCTGACGGCATCGGGGAAGCCGAAGTGCTGGAATTGGGGCTGCCAGTCCTGGGAGTGAACGGCTGGCAGGTGGCGCTAGGCACACGGAAACCAGACTTCTCTCCGTTAGACACCGCAGAGGACGAGTCCTTCTTATCCGCTGGCTTTGAGTACGGCTTGAAGCTGGATTTGTCTTCCACACCGATGTCGCTCATTTTTAAAGGACCAGATTTCGACTCTTTCTCGCTAGATCCGTTTGATGTTACCGAGGAGTGTTTGGAGGAGGGTGGAGGGTCCGGTTTACCGATCTGAGAGCATGTTTGCGCAAGAAGAGCCAGAGGACTTTTCTTGGCGTCGAGCTGCGAGGATAGATAAAAATAAAAGAATTAGACACCTCAGATGTGTGCAAGCGCAATCGTTACGACGTATTTGTCACAATGCACAACAAATAAACTTCACTAAACGACTCGTCTCTTCTGTTTGGCCGTTTTACGCGATCCGAGAATGTGCGCATCGCGTAAAACGGGCTGAAATGGTAAATACCCCGTGCCAAAAGCGCGTTTACAGTCTAAGCTGAATTAAAGGGAAAATAAAATACTATGTTAGCTATAAGGTTTTATTAATTTTATCAGTTCTACTCCGCTGCGTCTAACCCAAGAATCCCGTAATGTCCCGTCATTTCTCCGAGAAAAAGAGAATGCGGACTTGTACTAATAAAATAGGCTACAGAACAGCGAATTCGCGTCTTACCTCAATCGGACTGATCGGGGTGGATGGCAACGGCTGAAGATATTCAGGGTGTAAAATGTGTCCTGTGCGTGCAGTAAGCATTTTCAAAATCTTTATGGGAAGTCGGTTAGCTTGCCGTAAAGGGTCCGAAGGAGGGACGGAATGGAGAAAAGGCTTGCTGACGACCGCGGAGTTGTTATTCCGAGAGCTGCTGCTGCTTTCCCAGACTAGATCAGTATCACTATTTCTTGAAGCAGAGGGCGATGTGATCATGACCCAATTCTCATGTATTTTGTTGGTATTGCATTTATCAGATTCATAAATAAAAACTACGCCGTAATCTTCTTTCGAATAGCAGAAATAAAGATAAATAGTATAATCCGTCTGGAGCAGAGCGCGAGGCTATCGCAGATCCGGAGCCGCGTGTGATACTACAGGCATAGCGCGCGTTCTGTCTCTTCCCGTAGATCCGCGCGCTTGTCCTCCCAAACCAAGAACTGGTAGAAATTTTCACTTCAAAAGCATCTGAATTAGTCCGAGATTAAAGCCCTTGCCGCCTTCCAATCAAATGGGACCCCGAGGTGATTGGAGGGTCAAGGGGATGTGACGTTCCTCCTTCTGCAAGCCCCTCTATTTTGACAACTTGGGGGAGGAGATTTTGCGCAATATGTAGGTTGTCGTACACGCCGCTGCCTCTGTCAAAAAATGAGATTTAAACTGCTCGTTATTCATTTTCACGAGCAGATTACCTTGGATTTGCCATCATTTTAAAAGATGAACAAAGTATGAAAAAAAAATCCTCTCATGGCTTTATTCTTTGTCTCTTTTGTATGGTTTTATAAGAGTAAGCCTTGCTTTTATAGATTATAATTAAAACCATCAACAAAAACAGAAATAAAAGATTAAAGTTTGTTAGATTCATTTTTTTAAAGTATACACATGTTTGTATGAGGGACTACATTTTAGGAACCATCTAACCTTTTGATTTAATAGCCTACTTTTTTGTTGAATATGAAATTCTTACCAAATGTTGTGTGCGTTTAGTCTTTTTTTACAGTTAGCCTACGCCAACTTTATGCGAGTGGGCTGAAAAAAATCAAACCATAAACACAAGATCAACGTGTAGTGTTTGAATTCCCCAATCAGACAAGCGTTGACAAGAGCAGACCAATGCAGTGATAGAGGGATGTGAATGTCACATGTTTTCAATATAATATACACCGCCCTTCTATTTCTATCCCCACCCCTCCGTCAACTGTCAATTCTACTCGACCGCAATCAATCAGTTATTTGTCAGTTGCTGTCAATCCTTTTCTTACTTCACGTCAGCTTTTGAAGCTGATTATGTGCCGCGAGTGACGGAGAAAAGGGCAAAAGCAGCATCCTGGAGAAGAGTCACTTAATTTGAGGGGCATATAGTTTCTCTGCTTTATTCGGTTTGGAAAGGTTTTTGTTTAAAACCTGCGGTAAGACAAGAACCTATCCCCCGTGTTTAGCTTATTTTCAATTGAGGCAGAAATAGAAAATCAACCACTGGTCATTTATCCTATAATTCGCTTTTTTTGTTTTATTTCTTAAGTAGGCCTACGTTTGACGACGTTTTTTTTAGCCGGTTTAAACAATGAATATGCCATATACGTATTTTACTTCTAAAAAGTTCTAAAACAACACGAGGCAAATAATGATTTATGTTTATTTGCTTACTTTATAGGCTATAAAACTAGTAAGCTTTTTTTTCTTCAAATTAACCAAGCATTTGCATGCTGTAAATTGCCTGTTGTCATATTTTACGTTCATTATCATTTGTTTAATTAGTTATTAATTTAGTTTGAACTTATTTTCTTCTACCGAATTAAAAAGAAACAAGTCGATTTTCTGACTGCATGAGCAGTAAGACCTGTTTTAAACATGCTGAGACTAAGTTTCAGACACGTGTACATGATAGCTAGCCTACTTCAAATTACATTGTCCTTGTCTCACATGCAGTTTCAGGTTTTTCCGGATATATGTTTTTCACAAATGTGAACTTAGTATCACATTGCCTCGGGCAAAAACCAACAAAACTTGAACTCACTTGGAATGTTAAAAGAGACGAGGATACAATAATAATAAAAAAAAGTCCAGGCAGTTTTTCTATTCATGTCAACAAAATTTTATTTACACACAATACAATTATTCACTTTATTTGACAACACCAAAAGACATAAAAGAAAGAGAAATGGTCTGTCAGACCTTTGAGAAAAGAAGTTTAAAATGCCTTGAACTATTCACCGCTGAGACGGCTAATCAGTATTGAGGCTCCGGGGCAATCGGGCAGCTTTTCAATGCGCTTTGCCTTTCATCTCTCACTGGATGGAGGCGCTCAATTAAAAGCCTATCAGTTTGTAAGTAAATCAACGCCTATCAAAGTTGTCACATCAAACAAAACGATTATTATTGCAACCCGCCTCCACCATTAATCTCTTTCTGCGGTAATCCGCTTGACAGGTCATCTAGGAGAGCAAGAAAACCTGGAGTGGACAGTCATCAGCGTGAAAGAAATGTATATTTTGTTGGAGTATCTCAGACACATTGAAACAGATAGCCCTGAACTATGACAAACGATAAACTTTGCTGGTTTGCCCTACTTGGCAATTAAATCCTAAAACGCGGTTTTATTTAATACGCTGAAATCTCTATAGCCTACCAACAACACATCACCCCCTCTTCTTCATAAAAATAACATTGCTCAAATTTTCCAAGTACATCTAACTTTTAAAATAAAATATAATTTTTATTGTAAAAGCCTAAACGTGTGAGGTAATTATTCATCCTATCTCACGCTCTCTCTCTCTCACACACTCTCTCTCTCTCTCTCTCTAAAAATCAATATTTACTGATTACATTAGGTTTTTTTTAACGTAGTTTGCGTGTTCTAATATTTTGAAAGTTAGAATTATTTAGCCATATAACACACAGGCCTTGTTTGAAGATATGCACATAGGTTGCTTATATTTTTGAAAACCCTAGATTGTCGATTTGAAACAAATAGGAAAAAATATAATTTAGCAGCCTTTTCATTCTTGTAGTACATCAACATTACATATTTGTATACATTTTTGAAAGTGCAAATAGTGGAAAGACTGCTGTATCACTCCCTTTGCTAATACAACACAGGTTCAAACAGACACTAGTGTCGATATCGGCCATTTTAAACAAGCTGAATCTTTCTTCAGTATGTAAAGATGTGTGACTGTTTTCTGCACAAGCTGTCAGCGCGTGACACACTGCGTAGGGCAGAGAAGGGTAACCATAAATTTCCAGCATCGGGCAAAAAAAAATCTCTTTATTGTCTGCATGACGAATGAGCTTCTGAACCAGATACCAAACACTCGGTATTACCCTTAAATGGGAACATGTTTTTTTTTTTTTTGGGGGGGGGGTCATAATTCATATTTTTTAAATGCAAATGTATTTTAATACATTTCACATCGTCATGTTTATGCATGCCTAAATATAGTCATTTACAGAGCTGCCTAAAGCAGCCGAAAACACTTGTGCAAAACATTCTCTGTAGTTAAAGTTGAGGACGTTACAATTTATCAAAATAAACAATAACGCATTTCACACTGATTTCCCCCCCTCAAGTTACAAATAAATTTGAAAGGGTTGCAGACATTAAGTTGATGGGTAAAGCAGCTTAGTCAAAGTAAGCAACACAAAATCAGTTCCAATGCAAAATACAGTATTTATTCTATTTTAGTGCTTAGAAAAACTCCCATAAGTAGGCTACACTGCGGAAATTCAACCAACTCATATTCTTTTAACAGAAAAACAGCTTATTTTGCGTAACGTTAGGCTACAGAGCGTTTTAGTCCGCTTCCTTTCTTTCGAAGCATCTATGAAAATAACCAGAATTCAAAAAAAGGCTCTTCCTTCACAAACGTTAAACAAGCATTAGCTACAAAGCATTTCCTATCATTAACTTTGGTAAAAGAGACCACAATGAACCATTTTACCTGAAAATACACAAACGCGCTCCGATGCGTTACGACAGGTATGAACATTTACAGGCACAATCCTTTTATTTTCTATAAAGATGATCATTTAAATACATTTCCAATGACGTCCTATGAAGCACAGTTTAGCAGCCTAAATAAGTAAATACTTTATTCTAGTGCGCTACCGCGAGCATAAGATACGAGATCCTACTTGTCTCCACACTGTCTGCGAGTCCAAAACTTCCGCCTGTGGGAGGCTCCGCGGTGACGTCATGGCGCTCCCCGCCAAAGCGTTTGTGCGTCTCCGATCATACTGCTTGTCCTGTGAAACAACGCTAATAATAAAGCTTTAATGTGTTATTTTAACTCTACGATTTGTATGAACACACGACTGGAACAGTTAAATATGAGTATCGAAATTATAATACAGTGAAATATGACCTTTGAGTTATTATGCGTTGTTTAACACTGTAAACACATACTTTACAAATTTGCCTCAACTTCCAGTGATTAAAACTAACGTTACTTTTTCAAACGAGAGCTGTCTGTATTGCTAGCAGTAATGCTACTCACCATTGTTTTCATGGAAACATGCTCGGGAAGTTGTTATGAGCAGCTGAAACAGATTTGAGCAATTGAACAGTGGCGCGTGCTTCCGTCCTAGATCAGCTGACACGAGCACGCGGAAGAAGTAAAGCTTCATTCGGTGCGTAGTTTAAAAGTTTATTTTGAAAACATAAAGAACACTTTTCAGTCTTATGAGCTGAAAAACTTTTGTGGTGGTCCTCGTTTGATGCGTCTTTCCTTCTGAACTGTCATTTGATTACAATGGCACACAACGAGTCAATGGTTGTAGTGAATGGAAGTCAGGTAAGTGAAATACTGCAAAAACGTTGTCCTGTGACCTGTGTTATGTATTTAACCAGAAGACACCAACGCCACAAAGTGTGCGTTTGTTTGTTTGTTTGTTTTTTGTCAAGTCATGCAGTGTCACGTTGGTAAATATATTTTCTGTGTCGCAAGACAACTCTAGTCAAAAGTATTATTACAAATATTTATTATAAACTGCTTAAATTGTTGCTGACTAACATAATAACAGCGGTTTCATTCACACAATAGCTGTATGTGAATTATTAACTGTCACAAACATATTTTAAATCTCCAATATAATGTTTAAGTAGTCTATTTCTTGAAAGAACAATAATTCAGAGTACCAGCTGTGCAATAATACTTGTATCTTTTCCTCTCTGTGTTGCATTGATGCAGGTGTCCTGCATTGGGCATGATTGGGAAGACATTCCAGATTTTCTTGGGGCAAAATATGGAGAAGTGGCAAGAAGATTAGATCTCAGCTTCAACCAACTGAGGTAAGTTACTGTTTGTGTCCGAGTGTAACTCTTAACAGGCCGTGATAATAGAAGTTCCGCGATGATGGGAGACAGCGATCACAAGCATGGCACCTATTATGCACATACTAGATTCCCATATGGATCCGAGAAGGGAGAGACATCATTTTTCCCATAGGTTTTGCAACAGGACTATGGCCCACATTATCATCTCTGGAAAGACTGAGAATCATCATTATAGGTCATTTTTGTATGCCATGTAGTTTTAGTACACTTCTGCACTTTAAAAGTGTTGACCGCAGATGTTGGCAATGCACATAAAAGGATTCATATCATATTTCGCTATTAAATATGTAATATTAGGCTCAAATTTGTTGAGAAAGCCCTTGTGTGAAGGATGTTTCTATCATGTGAAACATTCTAGAACATTGTCATAAATGACAGGATCTTAACCGCATACAACATCTCTGAGTCAATCTAAGTGTCGCGCATACAGTCACACCTCTGCATTAAGTGCAATTTAATACATGCATTATGTGCATTATGTCGTCAGCCGTGTCATTGAGACATCAGAGAATGGCGGGTACAGTAGCGGCGTGCCATGCTGTGGCCAGATAAAAAGCCTGATCAATAAATGTGACATGTTAATGCTAAGCAAATAGAATAAAAGATTCCTTTGACGGGACATGAAGAAGCACCTTGTGGCAGCTGGGGAGGGGGATGCCATTTCACCAGCAGAACTAGCAAAGCTGATCTGACAACTAAAAGAGAGGAGATGATGGTTATAAGGTGCCTTTGTTTCAGACTTCTTTTCTTGACCTGTCAGGCCTTGAAGGACTCTGAATGGGCCTCTTTTTGTCATGTGAAAATTGTCGTCTTGTGGCAGTTATCTGTGCTGAAAATGTGGATTCTTCCATTTAATTGATTCGCTTTGCACTGGAGTCTGTCACATTAATAATTGCCAAATCCTGTGCTGCTTCAATGTGTCGCACATAAATGTACGCTTATCGGCGCATTAATATTCCTAATGAGCATTTGTGACTGGATGAAAACTGTAGAACCCAGAACTATCGATATTCAGGTGTAAAATTTTGTCTTTTTTTGTCACATACATAATATGGTCAGCTATCATATGCATAAATTATATAAAGTGCTAACGGACAGATGTACTTGTTTCTTCAGTCTTCATCGGACATATACAGCATGTATTCACAAAGTTAGTGGTTTGTCTTGATGTTTGTTCTTTAATGCAATGCTATTTATTGCATCAGTTTCTTCTGTAATATTTCCTAATAGTTTCACCATACACATAGTAGTGAAATATGCAGCATTGCTGCAGATATAGAATCGCTTGCACTGTGGTTTATTGCCTTTGCTGAGCCATTATGCTATCATCAAATCACCTATAACTTTTTATGTATAAGATAATTACCAGAATAGTTGGGAACATCGATAGGCTATTAATGGGAATGCTTTTCTAGAACAATGTCATGTTCGTTGTCTTTCCATTAAAACACTGCAGGATTTACATTATCGATGTAGTGACGTGCACGCAGAAGAGTGAGGTTTCACCACTTATGTTTTAGAATAACCCCAGTCTTGTTCACTTATAATCACACTCCCAATAAAGATGATTTTTAGCAACAGGGCTTGTCAGCAGAGAAAGCCTCCCTCTCTGACATCTGTATGTACATATCAAACGCAAAATGCCAAAAAGCTGGCTCTGAAATCATTTTCTTTTTTACCACTTCAAGGAGCCTTTGAGTATAACAGAAGGTTCTGTCACTGAAGCTGTTTTGGTCATATGTTTTGTTGGGGTTAGGGTTACATTCAGTGTGAAATTTAATTTATAAAGAGGCATGTGATCAGAATAAAGTGAGGATGTGGCCTACAGTCAGGATTTCTCTGCTTCTTCGGCCATGTTCACACAAAGACCCCACAGTAAGAAGTTAATAGACAGACATCCTGCCCTCTGGCATGAGGACTTAAATATGTGAACATGACAAAGTGATGGAAAGGTTCTTTTGTTGTCCTCAGGGCTGCCACAAGACAATCTGGGTCATCCAGAAATGAACATTTATACGGGATGTGTCACGGTAGTTGACTAGTCATCTAGATTGACTAGTTTTAGATTCTTAGATTTTATTTCATTAGATTTTTTTTAGCAATAGTTTGCAAGGTAAATCCCTCTCTGATTACATTTTTTAAAGGGATACTCCACCAAAAAAGTATTTTTTTTTCTTCTGTGGAACTAAAAGAAGATATTTTGAGAAATGTCTTTTTTTTTCGTACGGTAGAAATTGGTCTCCATTGTTGTTCGGTTTACAACATTCCTCCAAATGTAATCTTTTATGTTCCACAGAAGAAAGTCATACATTTTAAGAACAGCATGATGGTAAATAAATGATCATTTTCATTTTTGAATGGGGTATCCCTTTAATTCATCCTCTTTAAAACATTGCTGCTTCAGACATACACGTGGAGACTGACATCTTTGGCCACTGGTGGTGGTTAAGGAGATTCCCCCCTTCTATGTAAAGCGCTTTGAGTGCCCAGAAAATGTGTTGTGTTATGTTATGTTATATTATGTTATGGATTGCATCATGATGTCTTAAGTGCTACCTGTAAAGATCAGTTAATAAAGTCAAAAGTTCAGTCATGATTTTTATGAGTTATTGTTTTGAAAACTTTCATAATGGAAGTTAGATGTTCAGTAAGAAGACATAGTCATCATCACAGTGATGTACCACAGCCCAAAACCATGTGCACATATGCAGGCTGTGTTACCTGATGTGAGAGGTGTCAGAGAGAATCTCTGCGAACACACATGTGAAATCACATTCAGTTTATCAGACCTTTCACAAGGTGCCTTTTGTGTGGTTTTAACGTTGAGTTGGTATGAAGGTGAAACGGTACCTTTCTCAAGACTAGCCATGAAAAGGTATCAGATCATAGACAGGAGTAGTAATCCCAGGTCAGGGATTGCTGTCAAAGTGTCCCCTCCAGTGTCCTAGACATGCATGGCTTTGTAGGGAGTGGATGGTGAAAGCAAAGGGAATGCTATTGTCTTGTCTGGTCCTGTCCAGATGAGGGGTAAACATGATGGCCCTCTGTCATGTAGAGGAACGAAGCAGCCATGAATTATTTCTCCGGTGTCACTTTCTGTCTAGGAGGTCCGACAGTCTGTCTGTCATCAGATTCAGCTTATTACGCCACCTTACATATGAGCCAACAGCCAAATCAAGGAGAATATATTTCAAAGGGAAACTGTTATAAGTTGTATAAAGCTTGAATGTAAAAGCCAAGCATCCAACAGAATTTAAAATGATGCTCATAACTGCACAGCTGGACTCAAGTTCTTGAAATTTGAGATGGCTAGTTATCCAATGCATAAGAGTTTCCACATTAAAACCCGTGCTCACCTGCGTATACATCTTAAAGGCAAATCAAATATGCTAACTTGCATTTTCAAATGGAGCCGCTTTAAATGTAGTCAGCCTGTCACAATGAGACACAAGTAGTCTGATGAAAACGGAACAAAGAAGACAAAGTACGGTGGCTGGGTACACCGATAAATGAAATATAACCTTGTATCGACTGTCAGCAATGTCATTTTATATTCATATCTAAAGCACATTATAGTATTACACTCCAGCTCATGCTTCACTCATCTGTCTCTCTTCAATCGTCACGGACGAGACTTTGTCTTTCAAGCCTCCGCGCGCCAACACCAGAAGGCTCCTGTTAATTGACAAATGAGAGCCTGCGACATGAAGTGCTCCTTCAACATCAGAGCAAGGTGGAGTCTCTTTTTTGATGGGGCTATTATTGGCATAAGCCAGTAAAACGCATTGCTCTTCGCCGAAATGAGAAGTGACAACGGTAGAAGGGCCTGTCATTGTCTTCCGGGTGTGTTCAATCTGCGGCTGTGCCAGTATGTAGATAAAATGTCAGTTAAGAGTACGAAGGAGAAACTGTCGAAATGAAGTCGTCAAATCACTTAGCCCGCAGAGGGTATGGAAATTGATGCTTTTGTGGAAATGAGAATTTTTCCATATCTGATCTATCAGGCTTATTTAGCGCTAATATTTGGGAACGGCCCGGACTGTTTGGCTTGCATTAGAAGAGAATGCTGCGTTCCTTTAGCCCTGTCTAGTTTGTTAGACGGGCACAAGTGGCGGAAATGGAATTTATGCAATTTCATTCAGGGTGCCGCTCTTATAAATCAACTATGAAGCAATAAAATCTCATTTAATTTCTCCGAGCAAATTTGTACCTCTGTGATTGCTTCAAGAGAGGATGAGCTGACAGGCAAAATTGTGAGAATACAGAGAAACCATTTTAGATGCATTATAGTTGACATGTTTGTTACTTGCTGCTTTGCTAATGGATAATTTAAATAAGTTTAGTGTGTGGTGGTTGTGCGTCTTTGTTCCACTGCGAAGATATGACCCAGTTATGCTTAAAGGAATTATTTTAAGGTCAAAGCAAACATGACTTTAAACGAAAGAGAGAATTTCTTTTTAACCAAAGATCTTGACCGAAATCACTGTGTTTGTTTTTGGGTCTGATCTGCAAGCCGCATCATTATGATTTATGCATTGCTATCTGTTAGTCACCGGACTAAAGCAGTAATTTGTGTTTTTAATGTGTCATGTAAATGTTTTAGTCTGACTGAAATCACACTAGACTTTTTTTTTGGCAAAGTTGGACTAACAGACCTAGATAATTGTGGATTTAGATGATTGTGGCTCGGCTTCCACCCTCATGTATACACACATTTACAGATGTTTCAAAAGGAAAAAAAAACAAGTGTATTTAATCCTCCAGTTATTTGATTACCTATGTCACGTGTACTTGGACTCGACTATGCAAAACACACTGTAGCTTGCTTGTAACTTTCTCACTGCCATACCTCCATTCTCATGTGCTATTTACTTCCAGTTATCGTTCATATTCACAGGTTTAACAGCAACAGGAAGGCATGCCCTCATCTTGTCTTGGTATTTCCAGCCGTTTCT